TGTATTTTTTTTAATCAAAATCCTAAGTAGCTACTTTAAAAGCTGATGTTTGGCAAGTTACGTTAACACTTTGTACTATATTTGCCCATATCTATAAAATAAAACAGTTGAAGTAGAAGAGTCTGAAGGCTCCACTTCCATGATTAATTCATTCTTCTCCTTTCATGTTCTACGAATTCTATGCCATCCATAGCTACAGAAAAACACTGATTGGCCAGCTAAGTGGCTAATAATAAAATACTTGATTGTTCTGGCAAAATTATTTATGCTTCACTCCAACCAAAGTTCTCTAACCTCTTCTGGTTGGTGGTGGTAGTGGTGTTATTTTTTGCCTTTGTTTGGTTTTGCTATAATCTTTTTTTTTAAATTTTATTAGAGTATAATTGATTTACAATGTTGTATTAGTTTCAGGTGTACAGCAAAGTGACTCAGTTATACATCTATCCACTCTCTTTTAGATTCTTTTCCCATATAGGCCATTACAGAGTATTGAGTAGAGTTCCCTGTGCTCTGCAGTAAGTCCTTACTAGTTATCTATTTTATATATAGTAGTCTGTATATGTCAATCCCAATCTCCCAATTTATTCCTCCCCCTTACCCCCTGGTAACCATAAGTTTGTTATCTACATTTGTAATCTTTTAATACTGAGGCAAACTCAGGTTTCTCTCATCACCGGCTTATGGGAACAAGGTACATTTCTAAGTCCATGACCATAGAAACCCCTGCGCTTCCAGTTTTATAACGTTTATATTACTTGATAAGCCAGCAAGATACATAAAATTTATACCTATAACTCTTTGGTAAGGCACCTTATCCACACCTAATTAACTAGAAATACTTATGTGGGCAAAATAAATCTGCAGAAAAATTACAGATTGAATTATAGTCCATTCCAAGCAAATTAAAAAGCTACAAAATTTCCCTATGAAAATACTAATCTTGTTTTCATTCCTAAGACAGATACAATTCAAGGTTAAACAAACAGAAGAGTCATAGTCAATAGCTGGGAGAGGTTTATAAGGCTTCAACAGCAGTGGAAACCACTGGCAGAGCACACCGAGAAGTAAAAATAATCAAAATAAGAAAAGTTGTGAATTAGTCTAAATCGTGCATAAAGCTTTACCTTTGATTCTTGTATACTTACTTTGTATATGAAATAATTTGTATTTTTATGTATGGTGGGGAAATAAAGCACCATTAAAGACAAAATAAAATTTTACTGAGTATCAGAACTAAAAGAAACAGCTGCTATTTCTCAAGTACTTTTTAAAACACTGACATTCTTTTCTTTCAATAATTCTATTTTGAGGAGAAAATTCTTCTTCTGACTGAAATGAAGTATCACCTTTCAGGTTTGAGAATTTTTTAAGCCATGATTTTCTATTATTTCCTTAAATTCCTAACTTTCTCTACAATAGGAAATAAAATTAGGAGATGTAACTTCATTCATAACGTTGAGAGTCATTCCACTCCGTAATTCTTTAGGATACACGAGGATGGACCCATTCTCTCCTGAAATTCACTCTGGGCCTTTTGGAAGGTGTAACACTGTCTTCAATTTGCTAGAGCATCATTTAATTTATCACAGCAGTCCATATGGGTGCAGCGACTAGGTGATTTTGCTGACAGATTTCATGAAATTAACTAAACATCTGGAGGCTATATATCCTGAATTTGTATGTGCTAACCAATATAATTTTTAACTTCTGTCATTCAAATGGTTTATGAGTTCAATAAATATCTACTTGCATGGATGAACACACATAACTATAATTGTTGACAGAAAGAGAAATGAATTTTTTAAGTATTGTTACTGTTTCAAAAAACTTTACCAACTACTTAAGGGACTTCTCCTTCAATCCAATTAATCAAAGTTTTAAATTATATTAAAATAAAAAGTCTATAAAGAAAAGTGGGTTTAAAATAAATATGATAGGGCTTCCCTGGTGGCGCAGTGGTTGAGAGTCCGCCTGCCGATGCAGGGG